ATTCTTAATTAAAATTCTTAAATATGACTTGTGAGATATTGTATTTTGTAAATTAATTGTGCACAAATGCAAACACACATTTATCTGCTTCCTCATATTCACTGATTTTTTGACTCTTTATCTCTTTCTGTGGCAAGTGAAAAATCAACTCCATCTGCTTTTTTCCCCCCTTGGATAACTTCTTATCAAGGTCCCTGATTTATGGGCCTTTTGCCCTGGTTCTAATTCAGTTCAATGCAATGATATGCTTTTCTGTTTCCCCTGATATTCTCTGGGACATTGGTGTTTTTAGTGATGGCTTGATTTTGATTTATTCAACACATTTCACAGAGAAGTGAATCACCTCTGAGAACTTGAGTAGTAGACCTCAGGAATCCTTACCTAGATTCTAAGAAAAATGATTATCTCTCTATAGCCCTTTAGAATTGACAGCAAAAAAGGAGAACTGTGAGTCTAGAAATAATGCAAGGCTCATCTGCTAGTAATTGGTGATGGTTTAATAGCTAAACCCATTCCACAGTTTCCAGGTTTATATGCAGTATAAAGCTCAATGTCCAGATCTGTGTATCTCTGCCAGAGACTCCATGTGGCCATCGGAAATAATAGGTAGGTAGACCCGCTGGATTGCAAATTAAGAGTAATGTGACTACATAATCAAGAAACTCAATGCATGTGACAAAGCAAGGATTCTATGCCTACCAGCATGATTTGATACAGACTATATATCAGTGATATATATATCGTCCACTTTCATAAGAGATATTTTCCTCTAGCTGCACAGATGCTCATGCTTCTGTTTTTTTTGTTTGTTTGTTTTTGTTTTTTTGTTTTGTTTTATCATGGGAATTCAATCTACATTTCCATGTCAAGAGTCGCTGCACCCTGAAGAGCAAACACTGACCTTTTTGAGATGCTGGCACCATCAGCTGTGATAACTGGGTAAGACTTTGTGATGGGCTGTCTTGGGAAAGGAACTACTGCATACCACCAAGAATAGACCTGTGGACATACTCTGGTATCCTTTCAGATCACTGAATCTTCCACCTTTCACATATGTGTGGGCATAGTGGTGTGGTGAATGTTGGACAACTAAAGGGATAAACCATGCATCTTTTTCTTGACGGCACACACAGAGAAGCTAAGGTATTCATCACCCAGACTCTCTCACAGCTATGAAATAAACCACATAAGCCAATTTCACCTTTGAAGTGTTAACAAAAGTAGCTGAGATGGTTTTCTGGAAAAAAAATTAAAAAGACAAAATCAGCCCTAATGCTTCTTGTAGAAACAAAAGTTGCAATATTGGAAGACATCATGTTAATTGCGGGATGAATGTCAGAATCAAAGGATGGCAATGGAGCATTGACCTTCAGTGGTGCTCCAAAACCTTTGCTCCTTACTGCCTGTCCATGTCCCTTCAGGGGTGCAGACACACCTGTGTGGTACACCAGTAGAAACCACCCATAGGAAACACCTGTGAGGTAGCTGATGTTGGTGAGAATTTCTTGACTCCCATCATATAATGTTTATAAAGACACAGATTCATTTGTTAATAGCCTTCTTTCGTGTGCATTAGGTTGGCTCATACATGATAGCCAAATTTCTTAGTCTACAGCGATAGCATTCTAGAAGTTAAAATAAATGTTAAAAATTCAGATTAAGAAAGAGATTTTATTTCATTCTAATCCTCTTGCCTGGTACCAGGCCTAGCATAAAGTAGCCAAGAGAAGTCTGGATGATAGAAGCTATTTATTATATCTTTTATGAATTTACTTACCAATAACACAAGACCGAAAGTATATATTTGAATTATTGGAGGCTAAAGCGCAAATTAAACTCAAAGCAAAAGTACCAAGTGCTTAAGCAATTCACATTTACTAAATTGTTACTAACTTAAGTATTTTTTAAAAGTTACTTGTGTATTTTGTGTCATCCTCATAGATCTCCTATAGACAAAGTACTGTGTCATTGTTGGACACGCTTAGAGATATTTAGATAGCCTTGACAAGGTCACTCAGCTCAGTGGTATAGGATTCAAGCCAAGTTGATTGTCCTCCAAACCCACGTTTTTAAGCACAGTGCATTACTGGAATATTCTAAACCTTCTCAGCTTATATAGGTGTATTCTTTGATCTAAAAAAAATGCCTTTTCTTCTGCAAAGCAAGTACACAGAAAATATTAGTGCATATTAATATTTATCGGCTATCAGCCAATGATCACTTCCTAGATGATGTGTTGTAAAATTCCATTTAGTTCACAAACCAGCTAAAATTTTTCTGATCTATACATCTAGATTAATTAGTTCAATAATGGCATTTATACAGGGACTTTCAGATTATCTGCACATTGGTGCTGAGAACTTAGATTTTTGTCTTTTTTGGTAGCATTTTATTTCGAAGTCCTGGGTTCTTTAAAATGTGACACCTTAGCTGTCACATTTTAAGTAGGATATTGATAACAACAAGGATGCACAAAGGAGATTCAGCAGACACTTAAATGGCAAAAAATACAGTGCAGGGTTTCACATACCCTGCAGACTGCAGGTTTATATGATAATAAATAATAGTTATCACCAGGACAAAGGGAAAAATGCCATGGAATCTAATAGCTCAGTGAGAAATCTGCTAATACAGGTGGTTGTACTTGTTCCATTTCATTGCCAAACAGAGGCTATTTATTTGCTTCTGGGTAGTTAAATTATAGAGTGCTATGTTGCTGAAAGTTTTCCAGTAGGAAGATGTGAATCTAAAGCTGCAGATGAAAACTTCTAGAGAAAAAGGGAATAAGACCTTATTTACCTGCTAACATAACTGACAAGCTAAACTCTGAACAACACTGAAAAGTTACCTTCAACCTTACCATTGAAATCTCCTGACTGTGTACCTTGGTCATGGGCCAAATGCTGACTGCAGCGAATAATCACCGTAGGGGTTGTTTAAAGCGTTTCACTTTGGATAGTCCTCTGATGAGGTGGGATGCCAGTGATGGAGTTTTGTGTGTGTGTGTGTGTGTGTGTGTGTGTGTGTGTGTGTCCATGTGCTTGTTTGTAAGAAAGACAGAAAGGTGGAGAAAACAAAGATTCTTTAAGAATCACCATGCCCAGAGACCACAGGAAGAATCTGTGATGTCTTTTCTGAAGGTGTTGTTTCCTATTTCAGTGGCAGCACTCTACCGTGCATAAACCTGACGATTATATTTTGTCATTCGTTTCCTGTCTGCAGCACATTGGGATTGAAGCTGTCATTTAACTACTTTCACAAGTAACCTTTACACTAAGACATGTATTCAATGTTCTTACTAATTAGGGATATTAATTTGATAAATCTTGGTTTGTGACCAAACCCAAAGCTTCCAGGCATAATTCTGATGAGAAATACATTACACAGCTGAAAGAATTCAAATTCTAATTTGTACCGCATCAAATAACAGCTAATGTGTCATAAAGGACAATGAGTCCACCAAAGTAATCTACATGGAAAATGACTCGCGAAAGGTTAGCAGCTCTGGACTGTATCACATCGTTGGAAGATGACTGCAGATGAAGGGAACCACATATTCCATCTCTAGTGATCTGAGTTTAAATTGGAAAAATGGTATCACAGAGTGTAACAATCAGAACAGAATCAATACGACCTGAAATTTGATTATGCCATCTTTGTATCACATAGCTATTTTATGTATTTTTTTTTTTTATCTGAAAGGAAGACCGACTGGGAGAAAACCAGGCTGAAACACAGCCTCAACGTGACATGTTGGCTAACTGTTCAAATGTCTGGTAACACAGGAGAACCAGGAACTCAATCCAGGTCTGCTATGTGGGTGGCAAGGGCCTTACTACTTAAGCAATAACTTGCTGTATCCCATGATGTGCGTTATCAGGAAGACAAAATCATGAGTGGAGCTTGGTCTTGACCTAAGGTACTCCTGCGTGGGTTCTGAGACCCTCACCCCCAATAGGGTTTTAACTGTCAAATGCTGTCCTCCCACTCAGCTTTGAGGGAATAATTGGAAGTAATTATGCAAATGAATATATATAAGATCAGAATTTGTGGGTGTGTTGCCTATGTTACCTAAAATTTTAAGGACGTGAAGACGCGCCTGTGCCATACTATTAACCACAAAGAATACATTAAAAATTACTCTTTTAAAGTATTTAGATCACCTGAGCACAAATGAAAAGCGATTCTTTAAAGCAAATAGCTATCAAGCATCTACATGTGATGTTACTCTTCACTTTTTAAAATTTGAAAACAATTTCAGATTTCCAGGTTGCAAAACGTCTCAAAGAAATCGCAATAGTTTCCCCCAAATCTGCCTTGTAAACAATGATAGGACTATGTGAAAATCCAGAAATTTCCATTAGTACAATCTGTCTCTATAGCTCTATGTTGTTCAACCTAGGCAACATTGTAACTACTACCACAATCAGGACATATAGTTAGTATAAATGATGTTATTTCCTGTCTTCACCAGCAAAATGCATTACAACTTTCAGAAAGAAAGAGTCCAGACTACTTATTTTACATAGCCGTAAATGCTTAATGAAAATTGAGAATACCCAGGAACGAATTATCTAGGAAAACACGATGTCTAAGGACCAACGTGAGATTCCAGAGATACGGATGACGCACACCATCCCTAGCTAACTTCGCTGCATGGTACAGAGAACACCACCATTCAACAAGCAACTCTGCCCAGGAGGGAATGAGCCACAAGGTAAACATAGAGTTTATCAGACAGATACTGTATCCCCAGACTCAGACACAACTGAGCATTCTCAAGGGTTCAGAAGTCGCTAATGAAGTTATAATAACAGAAGAGCACATCAATAAATACACATAAAGATACAAGATCAGCTAGGTTCTTCCAAACCTATCATGAGGTTTATTTTCTCTAAGAAGGCAAACAGAAGCCAGACACTTGCAGTTCCAGCTTCTGAGAGAACTTACCACCAAGGGGACGTATTTGACCACACGCGCGATGTAAACATGGATCTTACCTTGGCCATCTGTGCCTGAACTCCATTTGCCTTGAGAGATGCTACTGCCTTCTGTGCAGCGGCGGGACTGTCAAAATCTACAAAACCATAACCTGTGAAAAGAGGAGACCTGTTAACAGAACTCACAGATAATTGTGCTTGAACACAAAGGCCCTCAAATTAGTGCTCTATGGCACCTTGGGAAAGAAACCACAGTATGTCCAGCTACAAAGCAGTAACACATTTTCAGTGGAGGATGCCTTGTAAATCAAGTCTGTTGCCAGCGTCCTAATTTGAAGCAAGTTGGCGAATAGTCATGCTATGTATTCATTGTTCAGCTATGTTCTTTCTTCCTTGCTGTAAGAAGAGCCCATGGAACAACTGCTTCAAAGTAGGAAAAAAAAAATGGTCTCCCTAAAGTAAATTTCCAGAAACTAAGAAATGTGTATAAATAAAAATCATAATAAAAACCTAATAATTATAACAGAACTTGATACACAATAGGCATTCAGTCAATATACATTAACTGTCTGGGCAAATACTGGTTCTAAAAGAAAGCAAGTCTTTAAATCTAGTTCTGTTTAGATTTATTCTATTTAATTGGAAAGGCAGATATTCAAAGAGAAGGAGATGCAGAGAGAAAGATCCTCCATCCACTGGGTCACTGCCTAATTAGCCACAATGGCCTGAGCTGAGCGGATCAGAAGCCAGGAGCCAGGAGCTTATTTCAGGTCTTCCATGCAGGTGCAGGGTGCCAAGGCTTTGGGCCGTCCTCTCCTGCTTTCCTGGGCCACAAGCAGGGAGCTGGATGGGAAGCGGAGCCACTGGGATTAGAACTGGTGCCCATCTGGGATCACAGCAGATGCAAGGTGAGGATTTAGCCATTAGCTTATCATGCTGGGCCCAAATCTAGTTCAATTTGATTACTAAAACCACAGTCCTTCTTTACTGCATATTGTGCCTCTCAATTCAAAGCTCAAATAGTTTTCTTGGACTCTTAATTTATCTGCAACTAAGAATGATTGCAGAGATAAATGTTCAAGCTCTTTTTAAAATATTTATTTTTTTAATTGCAAAGTTAGATATATATATATATATAGAGAGAGAGAGAGATAGGAGGAGAGACAGAGAGAAATTTCTTCCATCCGATGATTCGCTCCCCAATTGACCGCAACAGCCGGTGCTGTGCCAATCTGAAGCCAGGAGCCAGACATTCTTCCTCGGTGTCTCCCACGCGGGTGCAGGGTCCCAAGGCTTTGGGCTGTCCTTGACTGCTTTCCCACGCCACAAGCAGAGAGCTGAATGGGAAGCAGGGCCACCGGGACTAGAACGGGCACCCATATGGGATCCTAGCACCTTCAAGGTGAAGACGTTAGCCGCTAAGCCACAGTGCTGGGCCCTCAAGCTCTTTTTAAAACAAGAAACAAATGCCCAACTCATTGGTTACTGGAGTGCAACCTGGAAGAGTCAATGAGTTGTCTATTGTTACGATTGCATGTTTGGAAGTGCGTGTATGACGAGGATATTATTTTAAAAATGTGAAAACTATAAATAAAGGATAAGTTGAGCACTGGCTCAGCGGTATAGCAGATTAAGTCCGTATCTGCAACACTGACATCCCATATAAGCACTGGTTTGTGCTCCATCTCATCTGCACCATTTCCAATCCAGCTCTCCGCTAATGGACTGGGAAAGCAGCAGATGATGGCTAAAGTACTTACGGTAGCGCATCACTTGGGAGACTCTGAAGAAGGTCCTGGCTCCTGCCTTCTGCCTGGTCCAGCCTCAGCCGTTACATTCATTGGGGGAGTGAATGAGTGACTGAGAGATTCTCTTTCCCTCTCGCTCTTCTTTGTCAGTGTGTATGTGGCCCTCCTCTCTCTCTAGTTCTGCCCTTTCAAATTAGAATGAATCAAAAATCTTAAAAATGAAGTTGATTTTGGTACAAATAGTGATGACATTTGTGCATTTCCATCCAACTCTGGAGACTCTTCTTAGGCATGAACCACGTGTGATTTTGCATCTGAATAAATGCATTTTTAAACTCCAGTTTCTATAAACTTTTAAAAGTAGGCTGGGATTTAGGTGTGACGAAGAAGTAGCCAGTGACACAAAGCTAAAGAAAAGAATATTTTGCATGCTCTTGATCTTCCTAATATTAACCTAAGGTTTAGCCTAAAACCAAAGCCAACTGCCAAGAGGATTTCAAAAAAAGTTCAAGAGTATGAGGGTAGGTTGGGAGGATATCCTAGGAAGCCCACCTTGTGTGTCCTCTAAATTGTCTTGTCTGGAAAGAATCTGCTCTGTAAGCCCACAGGTGTCTCCTGGTGGCTTCTGGGGACAGTCATTGACACAATCCCACTAACCATGCACTGTGGCCCCCTCTCCCAACACAACCAAAGGAGATTGCATGAGAATTCAATTACCAAGTTGCATCTTTTAATTAACTTTTTAATTTTCTCCTCTTAAACCCCATCTTCTTTTTCTCTCACACAGCATGTCATTCTAAAATGAACTTGTTACACAGCAGTGTACCATAAAATGCTCTCAAAAACCTAGGTAGCGAAACTGTGAAGTTTGTGTCTCTAATCCTAAAGGAAGTCTGTTCTATAGAGTACTGCTAATTCTTTCCTTACCACAAACTATTTTGATAATAGGACTATTATCACCCACCAAGAAAGGTAAGGGAGACAACAAGCTTTAAGAACTTGAAAAAGTCAAGAAGTACAAAAATGGGAAAAGGAAAGTAAAAGTATAATTTACTTTTCAAAGATTTACTCATTTTTATTGGTACAGATTTACAAAGAGACCAAGAGACTGAGAAAAAGACCCTCTATCCACTGGTTCACTCCACAAATAGCAAGCAAAGTTGAGCTGATCCAAAGCCAGGAGTTAGGGGCTTCTTCCAGGTCTCCCTTTATGGGTATAAGGTCCCAAGGTTTTAATCCATCCTTCACTGCTTTCCCAGGCCCTACCCAGAGAACTGGATGGGGAATGAAGCAACCAGGACATGAACTGGCACTCATATCAAATGCCAGTGCATGCAGGTAGAGGACTGCTGAGCCACCACACCAGCCCCACAAAACTATAACTTGGACATTATTGCCCATGTGCTGAATGCCGTGCATTGTCACCTCGTGAAGTAACAGCTTCATGTATGGCTGCCTTCATGCCCATATGTGCCCTCCCACCACACTGGAAAAACTGAGGCTCGATTATGGTAACACACAGCTGTCTTAACATTAGAAGCAATTCCAATGATATATTCAGAGCCTGACATTGAGTCTGCAAATGTTCTTTCCAATAAACTATCAGATACTCTGCTTTATAATCTAACTTTGTAAAATGGTTCTAGAAGATTCTAAAGGCCAGCAGAGAAAGGACTTCATTCTTGAAAATTCTGTGCGGGATCAGTATTATGGTGTTCTAGGTTAAGCTACCACGTGTGAAGTTGGTTTCCCATTTTGTGTGAGGTCTGCTTTGGGTCCTGGCTTTTCTGCTTCCAGCCCAGCACCCTGTAGCCAGGAAAATAGCAGAAGATCATCAAAAGTGCTATGGTCCCTGCCACCTACATTGGAGTTGAGATGAAGCTCCCAGATACTGGCTTCTGCTGACTAAACTCAGTTCATTGTGGCCATTTGGGGACAGAAGGTCTCTCTCACTCTCTTTCAATAAATAGCACACGTATATATTTTTTTCCACAGCCATTGGTTGAGAAATATGATTTACTGAAATGAAGAGACTGAAGGATCCAACAGGAAACAGGGGACAGATTAAAGTACTGATTATAGAATTATAGAAATATCAAGTGGCATTTGGATATACCAGACTGATGATCAGAAAAGGGGATGGAATTAAAAATGCAAGTTCAAAGGGCAACAGAATAACGATGTTATTTACAGAGCTTGATGTAGACAATACACCCAGATTAAGTGTGAAAACATTGGGCCAAGATAAGCAACTTGATCATTTTCTGTATTTTAGTGTTAGGTAAGAACATGAGATATGCAACAAAGCTGAAGTTGGAATTGGGGAGGGAAAAGAGGCCATGAAATGAGTAGAGGGTGTGGAACCAAGGAATGAAACTATTCCAATAAACAAGAAGAAACCCACTGCATCAGTGCTACTGCAGATCCTGGATTGCACCTTCCAAGTCCTGTGCTCTCAGGAGTATTGCTGAACACTGGAACTGGGTTGGATGATGGCAGTCACACCTCTCCTATCAGAACTTGTCTTGCTTATACTTCTGCACCCTACCTCTTCCCTAACTAACCCATAAAGCTTCTTTCATATTTCTAATCAAAGAGACAGAGCTGAGTCCTTTCTCCTGCCCGTTCCTGGCCACGAAAAGGCCTTTCTCTTTACAAGACTCACATCCCAGAGCAGGATGGGGTGCAGGCCAGAGAAACCTCCTTCAATGACAGTGTGAGTAAGGACAGTGTAAGTGACCAAGGAGTTTAAGAACATAAATGTTATAAACCTGACTTGCGTCAGGCAAGCAGTAGGCATTGAAACTTGTGTGAGTGGCTGGAGAGCAAGAGAAGGAAGAGGAGTTTAGGGAGAGGGTTTACAGTTCTCAGCAAAGCACTGGTGGTGGAGAAAGAAACTTGAGATGGGTTTGGCAAGGGCTATGAGGTCAATAGAGCTGTCTCTGTTTACATTAAGGCATGAATTACTATGTCTATATACCTCTGTGTGTGTGTGTGCACACATGCGTACACATGTGCCCAACAAGCATGTCTATCTCCCCAACATGCATGTCTACCTCCCACCTAATACCAGTGTAAAGCCAGGCTATTTCCTTAAGTTATTCAACAATACCTTTGGCCTGCCTAATCTTATTTTTAACTTTGCATTTTTTAATGTTGAATAGAAAATTAGCTAGAAAACAAGAGATGAAAGTTTAAGAAGGACAAGGGGATAATCTATATAATAACATTTCTGGAAAAAGGCAATGGGAGATTATATAGGAATATATAGGAAGATACTGCTAAAAGCGATCTTTCATTTTTGCGCACTGGAGCCAGAAGGAAGATACAAGAACACTCAAAATTTCATGCACTCTTTTTTTTTTCTTTGTCCTTACTTCCTGAGACGACGGTAACATGGAGCC